AGGGAGGGGAGAGAGCAAGAGAAAGGGATAAATAGTGAAAGAGAGGAAAGGGAGAGAGAGAGAGAGAGAGAGAGAGAGAGAGAGAGAGAGAGAGAGAGAGAGAGAGAGAGAGAGAGAGAGAGAGAGGGGGGGGGGGCGGATGATAGGGAGAGGGATAAAAAGTGAGGGAGAGAGAGGAAGAAAGCGAGAGAGAAAGAAACAGTGAAAAAGAGAAAGAAAGAAAGAAAAGGTGAGAGAGAGAGAGAGAGCGCGCGCAATTGCCATGCAGACGATGTAGGAACAAGAGCGCTTGCAGGCGTGGGTTTCCAAAAAGTGAGAGTGAAAGCGAAAAGCAATGTAAATTGTTGACTGCGGAGTGCACTATGGGTTTTATGCAAGAGGTGAAATGCGTAGTAAAATCACACGTTCGCCTGCTCGCTCGCTCTCCCACTCACTCATTCATTAAATTCATTCATTTATTGATTCATTCACTCACTCAATCACTCACCCACCCACCTTCTCACTCACTCTCTCTCTCTCTCTCTCTCTCTCTCTCTCTCTCTCTCTCTCTCTCTCTCTCTCTCTCTCGTAAGCAGATTTTCCCATTTTCTGTAATATTCGCGATACATTGCAGCTTTTCTTGTCGCACGCCTAAACGCAGGGCGGCGGCAGTTTTGAAATCCCAGTTGCTTCCTCGCAGCCGCTTGTCCCGTTGAGTTTGGAGGAGATTACGCAGGTGTGGAATGGGTCCGGGTCAGGCGAGGGAGCGCCCGCCCTCTTGGTGTGTTTGCGGCAGTTTCAGATATACACACGCGCGCACACACAGACATACGTTTAACGAATAGTTAGAGAAATGAATACATAAAATGCCCGGAGTGCTCTATTTCCACGCAAACACGGACGAACATATACGGTTGCACGCATGCACGCCCCCCCCCCCCCCCCACACACACATAAACACACACATACACACACACACATAAACACACACATACACACACAAACACACATACACACACAAACACACATACACACATGCCCCGATTGCTCTACTTTATTCACGCGGCGAGTCGTTTCCGCCACGAGTCGGATTCTGTCGAGTCATTCGACCGCGGCTTCTGACTCATTTATGCGAGCGGCTAGCAGGCGAGTCGCTCCACTGCGATAGAATGTGGGGTTTTCATGACGATTGAGTTAGTGGAGCATTAAGTAAAAAAAAAAAAAAAAAAAGAGAAAAAAGAAAAAAAAAAAGTCCTTTTATAGAACTCATTCCTCCCGCTGCCCCACTTTTCGAGTTTGTGATGGATACGTGTTGTTGCTTCTTTTCTTTCCCCTCTTTTTTTTTCTTATTATTATATCCCCGTCACGTCCTTGACCTGCTCTTCCCCGGCGCGCGGTGGTCTTGCCGGCCGTAGTGATCGCCCGCCTTAATTGCGACCATTTTCTCCCTCTTTCTTGTGAGGGGAATGTGGCTGGTTGTCATGCAATCCATGGCTGTGACGGGCTGGCGGATTGCGTCGTTAAGATTTACGTTCGCTAATGATGAGCTGATAGATATGGGTATCGAAGCGGTAGGTATGAGTTAAAGGATATGGTGATCACATTTTTTTTTGGGGGGGGTTTGTGTTTCATGTGCAGATGACTTCGGGACACGGCGCTGTAGCTTCATCAGGCTCAAAAGATGTCCCCCGACTCTTTACGCAACATTAAGCCAAGGTTATGAAATGTTTTAAGCTGGTGCACTTACAAGAGACATTGGACTTCGATTTAATGTGTGCCAATCTCATATATATGTATGCATGTATGTATGTATATGTATAGATATGTATATATATACACACACACTATATATATATATATATATATATATATATATATATATGTATATATATATATATGTATATATATATATATGTATATATATATATATGTATATATATATATATGTATATATATATATATGTATATATATATGTATATATATATATATATATATATATATATATATATATATATATATATATATATATATATGTATATATATGTTTATTATTTTTTTACAAAGTCGTGTCTCGTACCTAATTCTCCAGAGTAAAATGTCTTGATATTGGCGCAGGCGAGAGGCGGCTTGGCGCGGGCACATTTTGCATGCGAGAATAATGTGGTCCCGCCATTGCACTTCTTAGTCAATGCGCCTCAAACGCGAGGGGGTCACGTGGAGGCAAAAAGCGGCGCCGCGACACGTAGGCCTCGAGTCATAAGACCGCCGAGAAGGTCAGGGAAAGTGGCGGGAGCGCGAGGTCACTTCGGACGGCGGGCCAGGGTCGGGCGCGGGAGCAGGGGCGAGCAGACACGTTCGTGCGCAGGTGTATTTGCGCCGGATGGGTTTCCTTGTGCATTTGTTTGAGTGCAGTGCAGATCCTGCCTTAGTCCATACTCTCTCTCTCTCTCTCTCTCTCTCTCTCTCTCTCTCTCTCTCTCTCTCTCTCCACATATATATATATATATATATATATATATATATATATATATATATATATATATATACATACACACACATTTTTTATTATTATTATGCATATATACGTACGTGTGGGGGGGGGGGAGGGAAAGAAAGTAAGTTTGATTGATTGTTAAGATCAATTAATAAGATAGCTGGGTAGATAGATGGATAGGCAAATAGGTAGGTAGATGTATAGTAGATACTGTGGATGTGTTTGTATGTCGCGCGCGCACAATTGGCATTGTTATTTTGCTCTCCTTTTTGCTTCCATCTGGCATTTATTTCTCGCGAAAGAGCATTGCCTTCCAGGTATTTTAGACTGCCATTGCAATCAACAATAGGAGGCTTATTATCACCACAATGTCATCCATACACTCCACGAAACCGTTGCAAAGCCTCATAATATGTTGCTGTTTTTTTAAGAACACCGAGGCGAGGCTTCTGTGTGAACGTGGGCTTCTCTGGTGCGATCGGAGTGTGGAACTTTAAAGAGTTAAGGTTCTGGAGCGAGAGAGAAACAGGAGGGGGGGGAGGGAACGTAGAAAGGCGTTTTTTTCATGTAAAATAATCAGCGGTAAGGGATTTGTAGTGTGGGACCTTTCGAAGTTGAATCTGCTGGATTGCTGTAAGGATTTAGAGTGTTCTGTGGTTAGACTTTTTTTAAGAGATAAAGAGTGGTTCTGAAATATCAAAACAACATCGAACATACGAAAAGGATATAAGATTTCACAGCTGGGTTCTCTGCGTTTGAAAAAAGGACTACGATGAACGGGACGTACTCTGAATCAGGCAAGTCTGTTTCTATGTTCTCATACACAAAGTGGGAGCGCGACTGAGATCTTTGGATGCTGGCCAAGCCAACTACATATATTTTTATCTTTTTTATATGATCAATATTCATCGCCGTATCTAGCCCTTGGTTGACACGGGCATGCGAGGATGATGTGACCCGGATGTGTTAGGCAACCGACGAATCATCCGAGGACGCTATGGGTCCATGTCCATGCCGTGGCGCTGTAGCTGTATTGTCTTGCCTTTATGGAGCGGACAGCTTGGTGAAAGTCTGGGGCGGAAGATGGTGCAAGTTCTGATTTTATACTCATTCTGTAGTCAGAGTATTATAACTCATATTTAGTGCCTATCTCAAGAGTGAGCATAAAGGAAAGTAAAGCAAAGAATTGTTTATGGAAACAAAACGGGGAAGAGAGAGAGATCTATCATTAATTCAGCGAAGCGAACACGTAAACAAAAAGCGGCGTTCATGTCGCGCCGTCGTTTGTTGTTGGCCGCGTGTTTACGAGAGGTTTGCCCAGCCCTTGCTTAAGTCATAGCCGGGTTTTTTATGGCCGTTATCATTGTTATTCCCCTCCGGTGCAATCATGTTCGGTAACGAGCCATTAGGACAGAATTCTGCTTATTTTGGCGTGACAGGCTCGGAGATAGATTTCGTGGTTCATATTGGAAACGGGTGTTTTCGCCGTTGACAGGGTGTTCGTACTGTATTGTAAATGTTCTTGGGGCGAGTTTTTTTGCATTGGTGTTTATGTGGAAGATCGACACCCGTTCAGCATGAAACGGCATGAAAAAATAATGCAAGTAGGTTAGGTTTTGTTGTCGTAAAGTTATCATTTTGCACTTCTCGGTAAAATGAAGTTGAAAGTGTAGTTACATTCTGGGTCCGAAGGTACGAGGTCGCGGAGATAGTGTTTGCAAATTAAACTTTTTTATTTGATTTGTTTAGGTCACTACGGATGTGTTGTGTGACCAAGGCCATGCTGTGTCGCACATGATTATCGGCTTTTGCTTTATGGCGTTTTAGTCATTCTGCGTCTGTCTGTCTGTCTGTCTGCCCCCCCCCCCCCCTCTCTCTCTCTCTCTCTCTCTCTCTCTCTCTCTCTCTCTCTCTCTCTCTCTCTCTCTCTCTCTCTCTCTCTCTCTCTCTCTCTCTCTCTCTCTCTCTCTCCCTCTCCCTCTCCCTCTCCCTCCCTCCCTCTCTCCCTCTCTCTCCCTCGTTCTCCATCACCCTCTTTTCTCCTCATCTTCATCGTTCCCCTTTTCTACTTTTTTTCCCTTTTTCTCATTCCCCTTCCTTTTCTCCTCCTCTTTCTCCTTCTCCTTCCCCTTCCCCTTCCTTATCTCCTCCTCCTCCTCCTCTCTCTTCTCATTCCTACTTCTCTCTCAAACACGGGTAATGTAGTTTTCGCTTAGCCTGTTAGCCTGTGTATTGTGAATCCTTTCTTTCACATTTCAGATATATATTTTTTTTTTTTGGCTTATAAGTGGATGAATCACTTGTATTTATGTAGATGAATTTTATTTTTTATTCAGTTGATTTTGTTTTCCTTTTTGTGATGTCGTTGATTATATGGGACGATACAAAAATGGGTAAGAATGAAAATGAATAAAGGATGAAATTCAAATAGTTCTAAAGCCAGATTGCTGCTAAACCTGCATTGTTGACTGGTGGAGACTATTAAACGTGGATTACTCTTCCTTACCCTTTCTCTTTCCGTTCCAGGCGGCCCATGCAGTGTTGCAGCAGCAGGAGACCGGCAAGCCCGTGTACAAGGTGAAGAACGTCTCCCTGAACACCCTCTGCCGTTCCTACAACGCCCCCGTCAACCCACGGAAGGACCAGGTAAGGCGCGCGCGCGTGTGCGTGTGCGTGTGTGTGTGTGTGTGTGTGTGTTTGTTTGTTTGTTTGTTTGTTTGTTTGTGTGTTTGTTTGTGTGTGTATGTATATGTATATGTATGTATGTGTGTGTGTGTTTGTGTGTGTGTGTGTGTGTGTTTGTTTGTGTGTGTGTTTGTTTGTGTGTGTATGTGTAATGTGTATGTATATGTATATGTGTGTGTGTGTGTTTGTTTGTTTGTTTGTGTGTTTGTTTGTGTGTATGTATATGTATGTGTGTGTGTGTGTGTGTGTGTGTTTGTTTGTGTGTGTGTTTGTTTGTGTGTGTATGTGTAATGTGTATGTATATGTATATGTGTGTGTGTGTGTGTGTGTGTGTGTGTGTGTGTGTGTGTGTGTGTGTGTGTGTGTGTGTGTGTGTGTTCGTGTGCGTATGTGTGTGTGTGTGTTCGTGTGCGTGTGCGCGCAATAGTAAGAGAGAGAGAGAGAGAGAGAGAGAGAGAGAGAGAGAGAGAGAGAGAGAGAGAGAGAGAGAGAGAGAGAGAGAGAGAGAGAGAGAGAGAGAGAGAGAAAGAGAAAGAGAAAGAGAGAGAGAGAGAAAGCGAAAGAGAGAGAGAGAAAGAAAGAAAAAAAAAGGGACAGACAGACAGAGAAGAAATATGAATATGAATATGAATGTGAATCCGATTTCATGATTCACATAGACTACCTATTGTAAGAGAAGTCATTCCTGAGATAACGCTGTGTGTTTTGCGAGAGAGACAAAGAGTGAGTGTCCATTCGCGTGTCGCTGTCACAGGCATAGCTTACGCCCTGCCTTGTCTAATGACCTGATGGCACCTGCTGGTTGGCTTCACAAGCTCGTTATTTTGAAGCGGGAAAATGTTTAAGGAAGAATGGAGCTGTCGGGGCACCAGGAGGAAATCCCATGCGTCTTTCGATCACATTTTCCTCTTTTTGATAGTGAGGTTAGGGAGGTTGGGCAAAGATAGATCTTTGTTTTTAAATGTAGACATAAGATTGAGGTTCATGAGATATCTTTTGGAATACCTTATTGACTTTGTATGAATACCAGAGCGGATACACAAAAGCTGAGGTTAGGATCGTTAAATATCTGTTCATCAGTAAGACTTAACTGCTGCATTATAAAAGAACATTAATAGTGCAAATCCCTACGCAAAAGCAGCATAAAAACGCAGTAGAATAACCTGCAATATATCCCATCACGGCCAGTGAGGCCCCGTGCGTGAGAGATTTACCGGTATAAGCGAGTAATGAGGGATTCGAGTCCGACTGAATTCCGCCATATAACACACACATGAACATACGCACACGCGTACACACATACAAACTCGCACTCACACGCACAGCATCACGCACACGCGCGCACAAGCACATCCACGCACATCCACGCACGCACACAAACACTCCGCATGGAATATTTTTTTTCGCGGTGGAATGGCCTGGAATTTCCGTTATACAGTGCGATTATAGCTATCGACGTATTTCCTGTGGTTGATATGGCGGGAGGAAAAGGGCGAGGTATTTGTTGCAATTTCTCCCTCCAATATCCCTTTGTTTTCGAGGGCGTATAGGCGCTGTATCCGGATTACGTACTTGAGATTTCGTTAATTAGAAACGTTGTTTATGTTTGATTTTTTATATAGTTAATTAGTCAAGAGTGATTAGTCGTGCTGCATTTTTGTTCGTTGTAGCCATTACATAGTGGAAAGTCTTTTATGCCAGCATATCGATTGGAAATATATATCAAAGGGCTTCTCTCCGCTTTGTGTGGGAAGGGGCGCTTGTGCGTGCGTGCGTGCATTTTATTTGTTTGTATGTGAAAAGGAAAAAGAGTGTGTGAGAATGAGTAAGAGTCAGTCATGAAAAATATTTTTTGTAGCGGAACTTCAGGAGAAAGGATGAATCTTATGTGATATGCACCTGCCACACGTCATCTGGCGCATTCTCATGCAGTAGATCATCATAAAGCTTAAATGTCTCCGCACCATCTCACCGGCGGACACAGCGTGCGAACTCGGTCTTGACTTTCCGCTTCTTCCTACAGATGAAAAACGTCTACAGGAGAGACCAACGTTTCTGGGCGCGCCGACCTCTCACGGAAGACATGGTGGTATACGCGGCCTATGACGTGGTCGCACTTGTGCCCACTGTCTATGATGCCATGAAGAAGTGAGTCCCCCCCCCCCCCCCCCCCTCTCTCTCTCTCTCTCTCTCTCTCTCTCTCTCTCTCTCTCTCTCTCTCTCTCTCTCTCTCTCTCTCTCTCTCTCTCTATATATATATATATATATATATATATATATATATATATATATATATATATATATATATACATATACATACATACATACATACATACATACATATATACATACACATTTTTTAAATTCTATATGAAATAACTGTCTTTGACAGAAACAATACTTATAGATGATTGTCAATGTCCCCGAGATATACTTGCCACTTTTACTAAAATACCCTTGACTTCTCTATCATCAGGCAGCTGGACCCTGCCCTCATGCCTCTGTTTGAGGAGCTGTGCCAGGAGCAGGTCGAAGCCATGATCCAGCCAGAGGAGGTCAAACAGAAGAAGAAGCAGCGCAAAATAGAAACCGAGGTAGCAGAACTCAAGACAAAGCTTGCGACAACCCAAGCCAGAGCCATCGTCCTTTCAAACAGAGAGATCAGATTGCTTAGGTAAGATTAAAGAGGATTTCGAGTGGAATTAGTCTTTAGGTTTAATGTACAAAGACTTGTATTGTTAATATTCTTTTAAGCTGACATTTTCAGTCTGATTTTTTTGTTATGAAATATTGTCATAGAAGGGGGGGGAAATGTGAATGGTCTGTCTGATCTGCATGAAAATTGCTCTGACATTATTCATGTTCATAATTTCAGATACCTAGAATTAAGTGATGAAGAACGAGAAAAACTGGAAGGGTCCTACAAAGTCGCTAAAAAGTTAGAACGTTTACAGAGCAAGAAAGAAAGGTTAGTAGGCAAAATAATTCATTTTAATTCTGGTTAACTTATGTAGAAGAAATTTCACTGGACATGGTCTTGGGTATTTATTTCCTTTTGCATGTTGAAATTTGTGTGATACTTATCATGCTAAGTAGATTTCTTTTATTACCTGTTCTTCATATCCTACCTTTAAAATAAAGAAAAAAAATCATGGAATTTGGAATTGAGCTCCAGGATCTTTAGGAAATGAACATTAGTGTCATTTATTTCCAGCCATAACTAATTTCTATAGTAAGGTGATCAGTCTAGTCCATGATATGGAAAAGACTGATTGGTCTGTCCCTCTTGTGTTTATATACAAATATATATATATAATTTTTTTATGTTTAGAAAATTTTGATTAAATATCACTTTCATCCACCAAACTTTGAAATATGTTAACAAACTCATGAATATATTATGTACAGACATAATTCATACCCAAATTACAGTTACCTTATTTCATCCTTTTATTACTAGACTGGCTAAAAGTACTGGAAACTCAGACTGTAGAAATATGCATATATATCTATATATTTATTATATATATATATATATATTTATTATATATATTTATATTTATTATATATATTTATATATTTTAAAAATTCTTCATCTAAGTCTCTTATTCAAATATTCTTTATCTTGTAGAGATGAATCTCCTGACAAGAATGATGATGATGATGACAACAGTGATGATGATGATGATGACGAACGAGATGGGGTTGAAGAAGGTGAATATCCAAGTCTGAGTAGTGTTGGCAGTGGAGGCTCTGGGGGCTCAGGTGGAGGACTATTGTCTCCTAGGTGCGATGGGGAGGCAGATGCAGATGGATATGGAGGTTCACCATCACTCACCACAAGCATGAATATGGTGGAACAAGTATTGAGCAATGGTACTATGGATCGGCTGGAGAAGATTGACCGTTTGGAGGCCATTTTAGCAGCAGCTACACAGTTATCTGGAGGTTCATCTCCTGCAGGCACCACCACCAGCAGCCCAGCTGCTCAGTGCTGCTGCCACTGCCACAGCTACTCCCAAGGAGCACCACTCTCTCCACAGACCTCCCCACCTCCCTCCCTGAACAGTGTGCCCTCATCATCAGCGCCCACAAGTAAAGCTGATGCTGAGTGCCAGACTCTCAGTACAGGCGACATTGTGATCACCAAAGTGTTCTTCCCAGATAGTCCTGATAATGTCAAGGACAAGAAATGATATGTACAGCATGTATATAGTTTTGTATATTTTTAATTATTCTTGAAAATGTGGTCAAGGCCACAGTGTGATAGTTAGGTGGTGTCAGAACATGACACCAGTGATAGAGGGCCTCTGGGCTCAAGCAGCTAGCTAGGGTAACTCACCTGCCTCAGGTATTTAGCATAAGACTGACATCCCTTGTATTTACTTGGGAGAATGCGTCTTATCAAAAAATGCCTCAATCTGGTAATGTATCCTACCCACCAGACATGCTGGTGCAAGACTAACTCAAGCTTTAATACCCAACACAAGTGAAACTACCAAAGTCTTTTATCATTTTTCCAGGTACTTATTTTGCCAGACAATTATTCTTTTTATTCTATTGTTATTAGACAATATAAATTCAGCTTACTTCTATGCTGAAGTATTGCTAGAGTTGGGATGCTTTTAGGGTTGGGAACATATCGTTAAATGCCTTCTTAGGTACATTAGGTTTTATTTTAACTTAACTTACTCAGTGGTATTTCTGGTGAAATATATCATTGAGCGCAGCAGGTGAGGCCAGGTAAGACCCAGACTTACCTGAGGAACCCATGAGGAGCCTTCACTGCTCACAATAAATCCCTGTTGAGCAATGTGTTTTTTCTTTTTTCCTATTTGAATTTGATTTTGAAAGAATAAAAGCATAAATATGAAAAAAATGAAATGTGTATGGGTAAATGTTTCCTCATTACAAAAGGCTTCTAGTGTGATATACTCTCTCATATAATACAAATGAAGGGCAGTGCTCATGTGGGCACAAGTGTACTGTGAGTTCAGAAACCAGGTCTTCTAGTGTTCCCAGAATGAGCAATTTCCAAGCAGGTTTGGCTTTGGCCATAACTGGGAACAGACCCTTTGCTTTGGATCCACACATATGAATGGGCACAGCTGAGGTTGGACTTGCTGCATTTTACCTAACAACAGTCACAGTATTTTTTATGCCTTGTCCTTCATTTTGTAATTTCTAATATTATCCTTGCCTGTGTTTGCAGTGTGGTATTAATGCTTCCTTTATATGAATGCCATTTATGTGGACTATGCCTTAGGCCCCATCCACAGAATCGAGCACTGCCTGTCAGTGCTTAATGCCTGTTGTTCAGACAAACCAAGGGATTTCATTACCCATGACTGAGTGAAATCATCAGATAAGGCCATCTGCCTGATACTTTGACCATAAGTTGTTCAGCATGGTTGGACAAACCTCAGCACCCTGTGTGTATGATGATGACACATGCTTTGCCTGGTAAATGGGTAAAATCCACCAGGCACTGTTTGATTGTGTAGAGAGAGCCTTTCAGATGACATCTAAATTAGACTACAACACATTTGTTACTAACTGTTGCATTACACATCTACAAAGGAACAATGAAATTAGACACATACTGGGTATCACATATATTTGGTAAATTAATCAGCAATGCATTTTCCTGTTACAAGGACCAACCACATCACTACATCGGGAAAGATGCATGTAAAAGTGAAGCTAAGTATTTTTTTTCTTTTTTTTTTTTTGAGACAACAAAAATGAGCAGAGAAAAAAACAATTAAAAGTATATTTACAGTCAGTCATACATTTGGGTTATTTACATACAAATCTAAAACACTTCTCAGGTGGGTCAAAGAGGAAGGGAATGGATGTCAGATTATATAGGAAGACAAGGTTACACTGTGAGGTATGCAGAATCTTAATGCTATCCCTTGGATAAGGTTTCATAGTAGTTCTCTGAAGTGGACTAACATCTTACAAAACTAATACTATCTCTCAAAGAGTTCCTACAACGGGATATTTTTCTCTGGATTAAAACTCTTAACCACATAGTGCCATAAATCTTTGTAAATGTTCAACAAGTAGACTTCTCCCAATCAGATTTTCCTTTGCCATATCTGAAGGTTTATTAAATTTATGGAAGAATTAATGTTATCATGCTGAGATTCCTTAAACTATTCACTTTTCATTATAATAAAAAGGCCATGCATTCTGTCATTCTAATCTGGTCTATTAATATTCAAGGGAAGAAAAAAGCAAACCTCTAGCTTGCTCTGTCTCCCAGGAGATGGGCAGCTCTCAACAGATGTCACAGAGTAAACCTGTTTCAGACAGTCACCTCTGTGCAATACTAGTTTTCTTCAGGTCCCATAGGTGGCTGTCTTGAACAAGTTTGACTGCTGTGATTTTTACCTTATCATCATTAACTTGTGTTCATTCTCACTCTATATCCTTGCTATTCCACATTTTTTTTTCATTCTTTATTTTAAAAATGAGAAATCAATAATAAATAACTTATAAAGAGAGAGACGAAGTTGGAATCATGACTCGCTTATAACCAAGGAGAACTGGGATGAGAGAATAAAATCAAAGTAAAAACAAGAAATAAAGGAATGACTGGTAAATTTCCTTATTAGGGAAGATTATATAGGAGAGAAAGTTGACACCAGCTGCATATCCTTTAAAGTACATGGGGGCAGGGGATCCTGAATGTCTACATTTCTATGGGATTTGACATGAATTAGTTGTATTGAAGCTGAAAAAGCCAACAACTGATATATAATTTACTACCCAACTAGAGCCATTTTTGAATTACCCTCCACACTGACAAAAGCCATCCCACTTTCTTCCTTATGCTTGCTGATAAATAAAAGAAACTTGAGCTGACCTAAAATTACATAAATATGACTACAAATTCATAATAGTGAATTTTCTGATTATATGACAGTAACCCTGCCTTCAGTCTCTCTTGTATTCTATATTTCCCAGATTATTGGAAATTTGTCCAAGGAAGGTTAATAATTAGTTTGGTAGCTTCACACTTTAAAAAAATAACAACCCTTTTGTTGGTAATGTGTTAAGAATACATATAAAATTTAAAGGATAAACAAATATGAACAATTTAAAAGATCAAGTGAGATACACATATAATATCTATCAACATTAAATGCATAATTAGGCACCATTAATAAGGCTACATGTTGGCAGACATCATTAGAGCTGGACATAATCTGCTTTATCAAAGATCTTCGATCATTATATAGTACCATCAGAGGGGAATTTCTTGTATCATATATACCAGAATATATACATTATTTATGCAAGTATATGTATATACATATGTGTGTATGTGATTATGTATAATATATACACACAAACACACATATATTTATATGTTTTTGTTTTTTTTTAATTTCACTTTAGAGTAAAGGTTTACAGTTCTGACCAAATACACATGAACACCAGTATATCCCTGCAATTCTAAACACTTTCATTGCAAAAAAAAAAAAAAAAAAAAAAAAAAAAAAAAAAAAAAAAAAACTTTGTGCACTAAAAGCAAATATTCTAACAGCAAAGTACTTCATGCCTTATATGATGAGTTTGAAAAAAACAAACAAAATAAAACTGAATGAAAGAAACCTACAATGGGAAGATCAACTTTAAATTTGGTTAAAAGACATCCTACAAATTGTTCCAAGAAGCCTTTGCCAACTCAAAACATATTTCATTTCTAGTCCAAACAAACATTTTCCCGGCATTTCATAGCAGAACCACTATTTTGCACATTAAGAAATATATGAAAACTAAAAAAAGAAATGGCAATTCCATAAGGCTTTCATGATCTTTGTATCATTTACAGCACATCACCTCTTTACCTGCACTACATACCAGATGTATTTTTTTTAATGCTTAACTGAATAACAATAATAATAACAAAATTATAGTAAGAAATGATAAGCAAGGTTATGCCTTTTAAGGTCTCTTCCAAAAGTCCTTAACTTCATACAAGTTCATCACTTCATAACCACTTTTTAAAGGTAAGTGCAGACCAACTTACAGTTCTGATTGTCTATGACTTTGAGCATAGGAAATGTTAAAATAAGATCTGCAACTGACACCTTCCCTTAGTCTTCACATTGCAACTGTCCATACAATACATCTCAACTATCTAACCTATGTGAATACTTAATTAGCAAGCAACAGCCTCTGTATATATTAAGCAATATATTTTTTTATCTTACTAGTCTCACCATAACATTCTACTGAGAAAGCTTGACATATCTAACTATTATTATGCAATGCCTGAATTAAAATTTATTCTTCACAATTATGACAATTCTTTCATGACAGAACAGTGACATTCACATTGGGATCCAAAACTATGATCAATGGAAGGCTTAAATAATGTGCATAGTATAATAAAGCTTTAGCATACAAAAAATTATACATATCAGTTCTTGTAACTATGACCTTTTATAGAATCTCAAAATAATAATGATTCTTTTCTTAACACTTCATACAATATTCCATATAAAATTTTAACAAGCATAAATATTAGCAACATAACTACAGAAGGTGGGTAGTGTACAAATTAGGTGTTGGTCTACCTGTACCTAACCATAGCAGTATCAAATTGACATTGCTTAGTACTCTTTGTCACTCTCGATTATTTCAAAGTCTAACATGTTTGCACAGTACTCTACTCTCAATGTGCAGCTGAAGTCATGATCAGGCTTCCTTCTCTTGCGCATATTATAATGGATAGCAGGAGAACACCATATATGTAAGTTATGAAACTACCCACTTTCACCCAAGTCTATTATATTGGTCATTCACAAAAAACAAACAAAACCAGAATAACCATTTCAGCATCAATACTGTTTCATGGAAGAACTTTTCTTTATATGACTTCTAACATACAACAATCAAATTACTTCCACGCTCAGGATATTTCATTCTCTTTTCTTGAAGATTGGCGAGGGAAATTCCAAGCTACAGAGTCACATGCACGGCTTCACTCACACGGCTTTGTTTTAGCAATGTACAGTTTGGTATGAACACTTATCACTATATATTGTGGTAGGGACTTTGTGGCAACGACTTAACTTGTATATAAAAACTGGCAAAATCTGCTGCCACTGCCAAACTTGAAGAATCCTTAGGCTAAAATTGTGCTCTTTATGATCTACATATTTCAAAAAAAGCTCATTACTTTGAACTTTCTATTATTTATGGATTTATGCTTGTCAACTCATTTCTTCCAAAGAAAATACTAATAATTAATAAAAATCATACCATTTCTGCAACTTTCCTGGCATCAAGCCAATACTCATTTTTTGCAATGATTAGCTAAGCAGCCATTCCTGCAGTTACACATAACATACAAGTTTAAATGACCATCAGTATATAAAGATAAGAGGGAAAAAAAAAAAGCTAAAATGATATGGCATTAAGCCAACTTCTATAAGTGCAAGCAGTGTCTACCTCCCTCTTCAGACCCAGCCTCCCGTCAGTTTGTGGAAGAGTTCGTCATTCAGGTTCTGATTTGCATCTTTCGTCCTCATGGAGAGGAAAATGTATCCACCAATGAACTCGTGAACCACCTGAGAAAAAGGAATGGGCGATTATTCCAGTGATGTAAGATAATCAATATTCGGAGAAATCTTCTCAAACCTCAACTCTTAACAAAACCATTAATCACCAATTACTTACTGCTCTTCTCTTGACAAATTCCAAATTCTTTGGCATATTTTTCTTTTGCATATTTTTAGTACATTAAAATAACATCCAAATATTTATGATTTCGGACTTCTACTAAATGAAATACCACAAACAATTCAAGTCATCACAATAGTCCTTACTTAAGAAGGTAGTATTCACCTATATAAAAAAAAGACAATATGCTTTGAAATGGCATTTAAACCTCTAGCTTACCTTGCAATCAGCAGTCAAGCAAGAGAACACCACATTCTCCTCTTCAAACTGGATCATCATGTGTCTTGTCTCCCAGTTGACATTCCAAGCCTGAAAATCAAAGAAACGTAAGAAATCAATATTGGACAGAATGTATAAGCTCTTTAAAACTTAACCCATTTGCCCCGGATTTATGTTTTGTCCCCTGTAGTTTTTGGTGAATTTTGTTACCTACAGATGGCTCCACATGTGCTCAGCTGGCAAGGTGTCTATCAGTAGGCCCTAGTTACCGACCCTGATTTTCCCATTCATTGAATTGGCGGGAAAATTAATACCATTGCTATCGATACTGTTATTTTTGTTATTGATGTTATGATTATTAAATTGTAATTAGAATATTTCAGACAATGAAATGATACAAAAAAACTTTCCTAAAGTGAAGGAAAAGGGTATACAGGTGAAATAGGTAGTTCTTGATAACTGGCTATTTGGTGATTAAGAACTTGTGGAGCCATCTATGTGGAAATACAATAAATAAACGTGTTTCAAAGTGGGTATGGCATCTATTCTTGCTACGTGGGGTGAATGGGTTAAAGGGCCTTTCTTTCACTATTTTTGAGTAGTAACTAATGTTTTTTCCCGTTTTTAAGTTATTTTTTCTGGGAGAATATTAGCTTTCTCACTACAGCAGCCTGTGGCATAATATTTGAGCTAAAAAGACAGGGTATAGCTTGTTCTCTTCAATATGAAAGGCAGTGGCTTGCTATATCCATGCCTTTTTTTCCAATTCTAACCATGTATTTATGTTCTAGATTCTGAAAGTTAAGCGTTTTCCTGCCTTATCCAATGTATTCCTGAAAGAAATTAGCCATACCCCCTATTCATACCTCAAAAATTGTCCCTGGGATACACAGCCAGTGTAAAACTGGGAAACTAGATAATGGTATTTAAAAGTTTGTACTGAAGCATTTATATTATTTGTCATCTGTATCATGAAACTACCACATTTTGGAGAATAAGCTATCATATGAGGCTAAGTCCAATTGGCCAAAAACTTGTTTATTAAATCTTTTGTTAATCTAAAAGTGCATTAACCCAATCCCCCCGTATGGCAAGAATACGTGCCATGCCCAATGTAATACAGGTTTATTTATATTAATTACACATAGATGGCTCTACAAGTGCTTAGTCACAAAGGAGTTGGTTATTAGTCCTATATATCTCACCTGTTTACCCTTTTCCTCGACTTTTGGAAAGGGTCTTTTGCATTATTTCATTGCCTTAAATGTTATCAAGATTTTAATAACAATTTAATAATTATAACATCAATAACAACAATAACAGTATCAATATTAACTGTATTAAAAAGAAAAACATATTCCCACCAATTCAAGGAATGGGAAATCAGGATCAGTCACTAGGGCTACTGACAGATAGACTCCTTGCTGGCTGAGCACATGTGGAGCCATCTGTATGTAACAACATTCACAAAAAAACTACAGGGGACAGAACATTAATCCAGGGCGAATGGGTTAACTCAAAAAAACTGATGCTTATGTTGTAGAAGAGTTTAAATTAACAGACCCTTTCACCCAAAGCTGCTATGAGTGTCATTTATTAATTGTGTTATACATAGATGGCTCCACAAGTAATAAGTCAGCAATGAGCCAATTACAAATACTACCTGTCTCACCTGTTTACCCTTTTCCTTGATTTTTGAAAATATTTTCTGGCATCTAATTTTGATCTTAGTTATGACAATAGCACTATACTAATTCTAAAGTCTATAATAAAGAATAACTTTAAATAACATTGGAAAAAAAAAAAAAAAAAAAAAAAAAAAAAAAAATCCTACAAACTCAAGGAAAGGTGAAATCAGGTAAGGTCATAAGATCTACTAGTTGACTGCTTTATGGCTAAGCACTTGCAGAGCCATAAATGTGCAGAGACATTTCACAAAATACTATATTTTTCTGGGGCCTTTTGGTTAATAAACACATTGTTGGGCAACTGGTCTGAGAACATCTCTGAACCTGCATACCCATGCAGGCAAAGTCAGTGAAGATTTCTGAGGATCAGAGGATCCCAAAACCACAATCATTTCCAAATTGTGCAAATTGACCTTTCAGTTATTTTTAGGGAGTCCATTTAAACAACAGAAATTTACAATGTTCTTATTCTAATACTTCGTGGTTCCTTATTGTACTCAGTCTAAAAACACTATTACAGAAAGTATATGGCCAAGCAAAGCAACACAGCTTGTTTAGCCAAGATTCAAATGGTTTCTTACCTTCATGGTGTTATAACGCCATGTCTTGATGTGGTCACCAGTGTTAGGTTCCATCCTCATTATTCTGTTGAAAGCCACACCTAGCAATTCCTCACGCTGAAATTATAACGTTTATTAAGTTCATATCCATCATAGAAAATATTTTTTAAATCAGCCACGATAACAAAAGCAACAACAATAATGATACCACCAACAACAATATTGTAGTAGTAGTAGTAGTACTAGTAACAACAATAAAAATAACAATAATAATAGTAATAATAATAATAGCAGCAATGATAATAATAATAATAATGGTAATAATAATAATAATAATAATAATAATAATAATAATAATAATAACAATAACAAAAATAATAATGATGTTTATGTTGATCTTGATAAAAATCACAATAGCAATAACAATAGAAATGATAATAATAACAACAATTAAAAAAAATAATAATAATAATAAAAATAAACAATAATAATGAATGATGAAAACACTCTACCATGTTGATACTATGGTAGAAAGACCCACAATGTAAAACTAGATTTATTAAAAATGAGACTCCACCTGGATTCCATCCTCAGACCTGAGGATGGAATCCAGGTGGATTCCGAAACTGGTATCTCATTTTTAATAAAACAACAATAATAATAATAACATGTTGATGTTGATATTGATGATGATAACCATAATGAAAATAATGATGATGATGGTAAGAAGAAAATAAAAGAAAATAATAATAGTAACAAAATCAAATAATCAAAGCTTTAAAAATTTTTAAAAATCATATTCCACTACACATTAAATCAAGCCAGCATAACAAAATATGAAACTCTGAACAGACCAAACACAAAAGTAAAAACCTTTTTCTTTTAAAAACTGATCAAACAGCCCAAATCAAAATCCGCCCACTGACCATAATACTAAAAGAGATCATTCAAAGCTTACCTTGTGTCCCATGTGCTTCACCAGGAAGAGTGCAATGCCATACTCGGGCAGAGCTTGCCAAGCCCGGATGTACTGCAGCTTGGCTTCTGTCAGTGGTAGGTCCTTAACATTGGCATGAGCTTCCAGAATGCGCTGCACTGCCTGTGGTTTAAAAGAATGTGTTAAGCTTAGGGATTTATAATAGTAAATCTTCCACACATATAATTTATAGAAATATGTCTTTCACAAAATAATACAAGTTCTTAACCAATTAACAATGTACAATACATATTAAAGCATGAAAAAAATAGTTATAAATAGTGTATAATCTTATTATATGTTTCCTCTAAAACCAGGCAAATTTGTCCCTGCAAAAAGATATTTTGCAGCACACTTATACCCACTCCAGTGATTTCACACAAAAAACCACACCAATGACAGATCACTTCAAGTCTCTTGCTGAAGCTACCTCATATATGCATTCCTTGTCTTAAGTAAATATGTTATACGCATAACTTTGGAAATTCTTAATCATATGATCTGCTGATGTTCTGATTGTTTAAGGAAACATTTCATATCTATCTTCCTCACTCTTTTATGACAGGTCTCATACACCTTATCCAAAAAATAATCATATCTATTTTTTGTATTCTTTGCATCAAACATATGAAATTTATTCCATTAAATGGATTTGGCATAACATTTCACATCTTCAAGACCCATCAAATTAACAGTTACAAAATACCTTCAGCGCTTAACAATGAGACTTGGAGTGTGATACCCATACACTAAATATCTTCTGTCTTACTCCCAAAGCTTGTGGCACATGTGACTCAGTAAGCATTAAAGGGATAACACTTTCTACACGCTCACAGCTATGCTGAAAGACATCAGGTTCAGATACAAAAGTGCTGGTGAGGTGAGGAGAGGGTGAAAAACTCATAACTTTTACTATGATTGAGATTCCATATGTACAAGAGGAGAGAAGTTAACAAATGAAGGGACACTAAAGCATTAAGCTACTGGTGAAGCTTCAAGGAAACAAAGTTTGTAAGCAAACCAAAGACTAAAAACAAATTAAGGATGAAGAAGAAAAGAATGCAAAAATACATATCCCCCTTTTCATGCTGGATATCCTCCCATTATATATATATTGGTAGACAGTTATCCATCTTAAAGCAGAAATTGGGTGACAAGATGAGGATGTGAGCACACACAACACCAATTTACCATATTGTCAGGTAATGGGCCAGCACACCAGCCCCCCTGTATGGGAGATGACATCACACATTATGTGTGAGGCTGATACAACATGAGATTGTTCTCATACTCTGGACAGCTTGAGAGCATCTCAAGTTGCACTACATTTATTAGGCAAAATCCATTTTGCTACACTGTCACTTCTAGTAAAAAGATAAAGATGACTATGCTAAAGAATATAAACAAAGAGAAAGATAGAAACATAAAAAGAAAATGAGAAGCCTGAGTATTTTGAATGAAGACAATGGGAAATTTTCATGAAGACATAAAATGTACATCTCACCCTTTTAAGTTACCTTATTACAAAGTAGAAAACAAAGGCAATTTAACGAAAAAAGTACAGAAATTCAAATTACCAGGAGAAAAAGTGCACATTATATATGGTGTAAAAATGCGAATGACCCAATTTGATAAGCAGATTGCGATACTGAGAAATTAAAGAATCTACTCATCTACTATGTAGAACTAAATTTCTGAGGAATACTGCAATTACTTCAGGGAATTATGCGCATAAAATGTACATGTAATGAGTTACTTGAGCAGACACCATGACATCAAGCAATGAACATTTGATGATGACAGGTAACCAAAGATTTTGTTTACCGGAGAAGGTCCAGGAATGCAAGTGCCTGGCTAACGTCAGGAGAGAGAGAGAATGTTATGGCAGTTAAACATACAGACAACAGTCAAATATGGTTAATCAATACATAAAAAAATAGAATTATCTGACGACATCACCCAATACAGAAATATTACACTCTTATCACAAGTATAAACAAAGATGAGGCAACTACCTAATCTGAGCTATAATACTGACAGATTATTTTGTAGTATCTTTCTTTTACCATATTCATATATATCCCCATAAGTATCAATACTTATTATTTTTTTAGTGAGGCAAAGATAAACTGAAAAGGTGTGGAGTGATTAGCTGTGTTCATGTCCACAAGTAACTATTGTATTTCAAATTATTATTATCATTTATCATTCAGTTTGTCATCAGTTACTGCCAACCTTTCAACTGCACCTTTGCCTCAATAAAAAAGTTAGTAAAGCATCTTAGTGCATAAGTAAGTAAACATTAATAGATAAACTTGATGTATAAATTCATATACTATCTTGCCATAAATCAATTAAGTAATGTGGTCTAACATTATACTTTTTATTATTGCAGCTACTCTATATTCAAAACAAAGTTATTCCATAAGTAATAAGCAGACAATGATTTTCATTGTTAAAATCCAGTTCATCAAGAAAGTACAAATAGAGACAAAACTGATAGCATAAAAATAGTGGTTCCCAACTCATACTGACCTTGCCTCTTATGCGACGCACAAACCTAGGTGCTAGGTAAAGCTCTGGCTGGATGTCTAGGCTCTCTGGATTGATGACAGGAGCAGGAGCTGGATGCTGCATGGATAGGAATGCCAGGATAGACTTGACCTCACTGTCATAAGAAGAGTCTGCGAGTGATTTTCCCTTGGACGCCAGACGCATGGCAGCCATCCATCTCGCATACTGTTCCTCCTGTAGGCAGAAAAGAATGCAGTTTTAGCTTACTTATTGCATGGTCAAATTCACATCATAAAGACATAAAGGCTTATCAGCTTCAAGCTAATTCATATCTAAATATACATATTTGTAAGCAGACAGTTATTGTATTTAACCAGTAGTAGTGCTATCAATTAGTTGACACTTAATATTTCTTGTATAACTAAAAATTCCACTCAAAAAAAAAAGAGACATCAAGAAAAAAAATACTGATATACAGTAGTAGTGGTTTACAACTTTTAAAATTTCATATATAAGTATATGCTCTTGTGAATTTTGATTACAAATATTACCAGAACTTTATCATCATTCTTTTCTTCTCTCTCACAAACATCTGTCTGAATTAACTCACTGTGGAACATCTGATAAGATAATCTGTCATGCCATCTGAGGCTGGCACTTCCAGCTTGATACCATAGCGCTGCTGTGAAATATTCACGTCGGGAGTAACCTCACATCCTCTCAGACTGATCCTCTCAATGGGGTCCTCATTGGTGCCATCACTGGTCTTGTAATAACAGAGGTTCATGTCCTTACATGTGAACCAGTACTGTTTGAAGCCCTTCAGTGTGAAACGGCGTGGCCTGAAAAGTGGGTCTTGTTGAGTTTTATGTTTTTATTGAAAAGCTAGGTAACATTATCAAAGAGATACATTGTATTTTATATCTAGTTGATCTCTAACTAGTAGGCTTCAAATTAACCTAAGAGCATTTTCCATAATTACTTTTATAAAGAAAAATAATAATATTGAAATGAATATTACAATACCAACTACACACTTCATAAATTTGAGGTAGTCTGCAAGTTCTGGGATGTGCATGATGTCAGCTGGAGTGGAGGACACATGGGAGCCCTCCAATGACATCTGCAGTTCACTGAGTGCGCGGTCGATGTCATCCTCGCCTCCACTGTTCATGTCCGGCTGTGGTTGATTGACTTGCAGGTTTACTTGGAGCTGCAAAATACACAAACAGGATTAAACATAAACTTTTCCCTCACAAATTATTTCTAACTGGATCAAATCATTACCAAATGTGCCAAATGTATTTCAAACAAATACTAGATTGCTTTAGAAAACCCTTTCGGCTGAGTGCAACAAGCCTCACCTGCAGAGCTGCAAACATGAGCATTTCTTCTTCGGTGCAGTCGATTTCTTCATTCATTATGGCCCACTTAGCCTGCTCGAAGATGAGGTTGATACGCACAGAATCGTATTTAGGGTTGAGGTCATAGAAGGAGAAGAACTTGAAGCGGAGGAGGAGAGTGTCAAACTCTCGAACTCCTTGTTCCATGATAGAGAGGGAGGAGTCAAGCCAGCTATAGTTGAAATGCAAAAAAAATATATCAATTAAAGATGCTTCTACTTTTAGGGAGTGCATAAGTGACAAAGGAGTTTCACTCAAATACATTCTAGGGATAGTTCTGTTTGCACATTATAATATATGTATTAAAAGAAACGAACAACAAAATTTACAACTACTAAGGCTAAGAAGTACATCATGAAAAAACACTTACGCTACATTCATCCTTGCTCTTTCCAGAAGGGATTTGGGCCTGACCAGCCGGTTGCGAGCCTCTTCTGAAGGATGAATGGGAGAGTTGGCAAGTGAAGCCACAAATTCGTCTGAGCCATCAATACTGTCGATTGTGTTGTTGAGGCTGCCAACCCCATTGCTGTTGAATCTCCAGGTGCCAGTCTGCGGAAAAAACAATTTATCAAAATTCTGCAGAATGTACCGTTAACTCTTCTACCATGCTAGTAATAAGGAAATATCCACTCATACACTAGTATTTATGCTACATACAGGTATGTGTGAGAGAATTCTTCTTAAACCAAAAGATCAGACTTATCCTGAATGTCAAATAGGGTATCTTGAGGCTACCGTACTTCTTGGCTCTTAGCCTAGTGACTGCTTTTCACCATAGCAAAGGAAAATAAATCTGTGTTAAAATCTTATTATCTCTGTCAATCAGATGAACATAACACAAATTTTCGAAGGAAAGAAATGAAAAAGAAGGAGAATAAGAAAGAGAATAAGAAGGAGAAGGAGATGAAGAAGGAGACGAAGAAGAAGAAGAAGAAGAAGAAGAAAACTGTGGGACTCTGAAAACACTGGCAGGTTGTTTAGGTTAATGTAGTGGAAGGGTAGAGGATTATCCTGCTAAGCCTGGTCCCACTACTCATCTCTGGTCACTGAGTCTCCTCTAGCCACACACACAGTCTCTGATTTTGGATACATTACAATTACCCTCACTGGAGCTTGGCATGTCTAAGCTCACCTCAAAATATTTACGATGATATTACATCTGTAAAATAATCTTTAACAAATTTCACATAGCCTGTGAAACAATTAGCAGGATCTATGCATAGAACACTAGCTTTTGTTCCTCTTGATCCCCAGAGAGTGAGCCTAAGCACAGCAAAAAGGGGCGATAATCCCTGACTTGAGTCCGGTCCACAAAGTCAGATAGGACTAAGGAAAATCCATCTTTAGGGATTCTATCTTGCTTACCGGGGATCCAATGGGTGTCCTGGTGGGGGAGTTTGGCATGTGGTGTGAGGCAGCTGAGCGGTCCAGGGAGCCATTGCTCGAGTTGTGCGACTGGTTGGCAATGAAGGAGTTAGTGTCTGCAGGGGTGCCATTCTTTGTGGCCGCTGTGCTTTTCTTCTTAATCATCTTCTCTGAGTAATTGTATTTGAGGTTGTCTTGGGTAATTGGCTTGCAGAAGGACAGCTCCTCAGGGTAACGGATTCCTAAGACAATACAGGAAAAATATAGAGATGAACATGTGAAAATATAATGAATATCTAAATAAGAAAGATGAAAACTATAATAATTATTACAAAATTATCTATAAATGCAAATAAAAAAAAATCAAATAAGTAAATAAAAATAAAGACAATTTAAAACAAAAACAAAAATTACCAAAAGCAAAAACCATTACAGTTCTCCAATTTTCCAGCAACTGATTATATGACAGCTTTTTTAATCTAAACAGAATTACAAATGGCTACATTAATTTCCTTGATGTGCATTGCTTTGGTCTAATACATGTGATATTCCAGGCCTACTTGTACTCTGCATGCATTTACCCCTAGTTACAACTTGCAAAGTGCAACACTTAGAGTTGGTTCATGATACATTAGAGATACAAGAGGTGCATAATTAGAGGAGCAAAGGAGCATTAAAAAATCATCAATATGTATACTCTGTTGGTTCTGTTGGTCTAGTAAAATGGATAATGTAGCATGGCCCAGGAACCACACGTATCAGGAATTTAGTGGTGTATATGCATTCATGAATTAATTACTCCTTTCAATATACAGAATCCTAAATACAAGTCATTTACCAAACCAAACTCCCCTTTGAAAAATAAATAACAATAATAATTACATCAACAGTAAACCATAAAACTAAGAATGGTCCAACACTCTCCCTTTCATATATAAAAAGTCCAATGCCCATCTAAACTTTAAGAAGAACTTAACAAATTTTATTGACCATAAAATTCTCCTCAGCATTCAAATTTGGGAAAGTGTGTGTACAAGCCCCAATACAGGCCTAATTCTTATTCAAGAAGGTATACATCAGTATATATTTCTGTTTAAATACCTGCATTAAAAGTTAGGAGACTATACTTCAAGATAAAGTACTTGTATTTAAAGCGTAAAAGGGATATGGGGAAGGGGAAAGGGAAGGAGAGGGGGAAAGGTGAAGTCTACGGAGGAAGAGAAAGAAGAGGAGGAAGAGGAGGAAGAGGAAGAGGAGGAAGAGGAAGAGGAGGAAGAGGAGGAGGAGAAGGAGGAGGAGGAGGAGGAGGAGGAGGAGGAGGAGAAAAAAGAAGAGGAGGAAGAAGAGGAGGAGGATGATGATGATGATAAGGAAGAGTGGAAGAAGGATGACTTTTAATAATATGATCTCTACTATTAAAAAAGGAGAGCCAGTAGCCCTAAACCACCAGAAGCCAAGAGAACCAACCGAGCTGTTTGCAGAGCTGGACAACAGCATTGAAAGTCTTGATGGAGAAATCCACTCTGAAATCCATGTAGCGAAGGTCTGGGAGCTGTACACGGAGGTTCTTGTGCATGGGTGTGAACTCCAACTGTGCCGCTGCCCCAACTCCATACTGGTCCAGTGTTGACCTGGTGTGGGTCAGCCACATGTTCTTCTTGGGCCACCATAAGGCATGGTCTGACCAGTCAACTGCTATGTCTGGAAAAAGAGATCAAGGACAAAGTTAGTTTCTTGACTATTAACTTTTTTTCCAATAGAGAAACTAACAAGAGAAATATTGTTGCTTTTTAATTTGTCTCCAACTTAGCATTCTGCAATACCTGGAGAAATTATATACAAACTCCTTCAAAAAACAAAACCATGATAGTATAATCAAAAGTACATGAGTGATCTCAGATCATCTCTGAAAAATATTTAATTCATATTATTGCATGATGATTATCAATATTCAAATCCAGAGAATAAATAAAACATGTGAACTTGTGAACACAATGTTTAATACAGATCAACATAATAATAACTTAATACCATCTAATAACTGAGGTGTTTTGAGAATGGCTATGAAGTGTAACTCACATCACATTTTATAGAACAATCTAGAACAATGTAACTTCAGCTTTGCAGCAATCTAAGAATCAAATAGAATTGCAAAGATTTCATAATTAAAGTTTCCAGAGCCAAAAATATGTTCTTCCTTACAAATAACCAATTCATGAGTATGGCCAATTTCAAAACCAGGAAAACATTACAAAAATAAGATTAATCTAAAAAACGGTCTAGTACAAACCAATAATCATTTTCTAAAATCAATAAGGGGACAAAATATTGTCAAGAATATAACCCTGTGATGAATAATGGAAAATTCTCCTCCATTCTCTTATCTCCATTTATGCTCTATCATACATTTGCCAATCTGCCCTTCTTTCCACCCATACATATGCACACAATTAAATAAATACAAACAACCAACCAAAACAAACAACCAAACACACACATGAGCACACATCCATATAAGGAAATGGAATCAGGTCTCTGTGAATACCTTCTCTTCCACCACATGGAGAGGGGATTCTTTTTTGCTACATCTCTCAACTACATAACTATACATCCACAAAAACATGCATGTGCATCATACAACTGGGGTAAACGGCCTTGCTTCCTCCTTCCCTCCCTCCCACCCACCCCTCCCCCCTCCCTCCTACCTCCTACTTTCCCTTCCTGTCTCCCTCCCTCCCTCCCTCCATCCATCCTCCCTCCTACCCTCCCTCCCTCTTATTCTCCACTGCTACCAGTACCTTAGACCCATAAACTCGTTGGCGGCGATTAAAACAGCCCAGTTGTTGAACCTGTCCCCCTTTTACTACTTACTACAAGCCAGAAACTACGGTATGCTGGCTCCACCCGCGTGAGATAGGGTGGGGGTGGGGTGGGGTGTGTGTGTATAAGGTCGAGAGAACAGAACAGAAGAAAGAGAGGGGGGATGATAAGAGGGCGGGGTGGGGAGGGGAATGCGAAAGGAAAAGGGCGAATTATCAAACGAGGGAGAGGGAGGGAGGGAGGGAGGGAGGGAGAGAGGGAGAGAGGGAGAGAGGGAGAGAGGGAGAGAGAGAGAGAGAGAGAGAGAGAGAGAGAGAGAGAGAGAGAGAGAGAGAGAGAGAGAGAGAGAGAGAGAGAGAGAGAGAGAGAGAGAGGGGGGGGGGGGGAAGCCTAGGTAGGCTACTCACATTCAGAACTGATGTCAGTCCAGCTCCAACACCTACACGCGCACGCCTCCACACGGGCGTACCTGCACTACGGCACGCCCACACACTCCTACACAGACACACACACACGCATACCCTGAGTCCGCCCACTTTCCGAATCCCCAGGAATACCACGAACTGAAACATCCGACCCAGCCTCAACCGACATAATACAGCTACAACAACAATGAGTTTGTGAGTGAGTTGAATGTGAGTCAATCGCTCCATGGATCCGCTTGAGCGAGTTAGGTCGAGAATTGAGGAGTATAATCATTTAATCGCCCATATTGTGGGAGATCAGTGACGTCACGCCTCGTCCCCGTTCGTGAGATGAGGCTTCGTTTGTAAGACTTAAAAAAAAAGTGCAGGAAAGGAAGAGGGGAGGGTAACGGAATAACAACTTTTGAAATACATGCGGACAGTTCTCAGACAATTAACACCATTTGTTTATGCACCAGCTACATTTTATGGCAGTTCTCCGCACATGTGTCAGACTTTTGTGTATCTCATAAAAAACAGCGTTTTCTGCGTATCTCTCCTCTACAGTAGATAAAATTACATGTTTTTTGGGGTTGCATAAGGACGGAAAACATGGCTAAGCAGCATAATGTGATAATCAAGAAGCTTAAATGTGTATGAATGTCTCATCTAACATCTTGCTGCTATTTCAAATGTGTATGATGCCACGTGAACGCGTGCTTAAAAAGAAGCAGCTTTAAGCGATATCACCAAAAAATTTAATGGTATTCGTATTTCCGATTTGTTTTCGTTATCAACATCCTATATCCTCTCTCTCTCTCTCTCTCTCTCTCTCTCTCTCTCTCTCTCTCTCTCTCTCTCTCTCTCTCTCTCTCTCTCTCTCTCTCTCTCTCTCTCTCTCACACACACACACACACACACAAACACACACACACACACACACACACACAAACACACACACACACAAACACACACACACACAAACACACACACACATATCCCCCCCCCATCCCTCTCCCTCTCCCTCTTTAATTCAACCATGTTTACGCTTTCTTCTTTCTTGCCATTTCTATTATTCTTCTTTCTTGCCATTTCTATTCCTCTTCTCCTCTACCCTTCCCCTTCCTCTTTAGCCACAATACCGGATTCGAGATCACCAGAAAAATACAACTGTTAAGGCAAGGCAAGTACGTGCCACTGAACATTACCATCACTGACCCAAAGCTCATACTACCGAGGAAAAAAATAACGACAAGGTCAACGGCACGAACTGTATACTTCTATAATGTTGACGTGATGATGCTTGGTTACAAATGGCTTATGGAACAACAAAGGGGGGAAGGAATAACCAACAAGAAATGGGGAAATGGTAGCGAGGAGCTCCGGGAATGGTGATCTAAAAAGAATAACATGAAGAGGTTTCGCCGTCGCAGGAATCTAGTCATAAGAACCTTGCGCAGCATTCCTCACGCGCCTTCGTCAGTGGAACATGACGAGTCACGAGGCACTTCGACAGGGGGCGTGGGGGACGGGGCAGGGAGGAGAAGGGGGTATAGAGGAACTAGGAAGAGGAGGGGGAGAAAAACTAGAAAGACGACGGACGTGGAAGAGTAGGGAAGAAGAGGTGAAGGGAAGAGGACTAGGTAGAGAAGGGGAGTAGAGAGACGAGGAAGAGGGAGAAAAGAAGTGTGAAGGAGCAGGAGTGGGGAGAGAAGGCAAGCTAGAGAGATAGACGAGGGAGGGAGAGAAGATCTAAGGATGAAGAGGGAAGGGGGGGGGGGGACGAGAGTCGAGGAGGAGGAGGAGGAGGAGAATGAGAAGGGAGAGGGGGTAGGGATGAGAGACGTACGAGGGAGGGGTTAAAGAGAAGATGAGAAGGGGGAGGGGAGGGTATTGGGGTCACGCGAGTGGTGTGATTATGCAGAGGGTTTGAGAGCAAGGTGGACAGGCGTCGTGACAGGACAAAAGGACTTGGGGCGAAAGCAGGGGGAGAGGGGGAGGGAGGAGGGGGTAAGGATCAGAGGGCATCTCTTCGCCTGGTGGAACGACAGGCCAAAGCGGTTCGAAGGATGTAGAGCGAGGAAGAGAGAGCACGAGAAGCGAGGGGAGACCGGCCAGGATCAGGCAGCGTCCACTCCACAGCGATAGCGCTATCTCGCTGTAAGGATGTCCCAAGGCAACACATCCTGCGTCGCAAAGAAACACGCACAGGGCGAGCCATTATATATATATATATATATATATATATATATATATATATATATATATATATATATATATATATATATATATATATATATATATACACACACACACACACACACACACGCCGATAGATATAGATAGAAAGCGTCCGTGCGTGTATGTGTGTGTTTATATATATTCATATATGTATATACATTCGTGTGTGTGTGTGCGCGCGCGTTTGTACGTACATATATATGTATATGTATCTATGTATATGTATATTATATATATAAATAGGTGTATATGTATATGTATATGTATATGTATATGTATATGTATATGTATATGTATATGTATATGTATATATATATATATATATATATATATATATATATATATATATATATATATATATACATATACATATACATATACATATACATATACATATATATATATATATATATATATATATATATATATATATATATATATATGTGTGTGTGTGTGTATGTATGTACATATGTACGTATATATATGTGTATATGAGAGAGAGAAAGAGAGAGAGAGGAGAGATAAAGAGAAGAAAGAGATAGACAAAGCGAGAGAGTAATAGAGGAAAGAAAGAGAAAGAGAGCGTCAGGCAGTCAAACAAACAGAGAGACAAAGAGAGACACATGCAAAAAGTGCAAGTTAAACAAAGAAAGAGGGGAAAAGAGAGCGGGCGAGAGAGGCAGCGCGAGAGCAACCGCCGAGTGGCCGGGGGCAGGAGAGCGCCGATGGCCGCAGCAGCAGAAGCGTCGGTCGAGGCTCGAACGCGGCGGCACCCGTGTTAAGGAGGCTGGCACTCCCGGGTGGCACCAACGACTGTAAACCCGCACTGACATTATCCCCCCCCTCCTCCCTCTCCTCCTCCTCCTCCTCCTCCTGACACTCACGGCGACCCACGGCATAAGGAGATGGGGAAAGGAGAGACGAGGATAATTGAAAAATTGGGAGGAAGAGAAAGAGAGGGGGGCGGGGGCGACTTGGCTTGGAAAATAAAAAGACTCAGGAATAAAAAGAGCAGACATCTAGCCGCCCATAAGAGGCAGCCCAAAAACATATATTCAGGAGAAAAACAGAGAGGTAGAACGAAAGAAAAAGAGGAGAGAGAGAAAGAGAAAGAGAGAAAGAGAGAGAGAGAGCATAGAGAGAGAGTATAAAGAGAGAAAGGGGCGGAAGACAAACACATAAATAACCACCAACACTTGCGCGGAAACAACACCATGGCGAAATCCCCCCCCCCCTCTGTACAGGTCTGGGGAGTGGGGGGGGGGGAGCAGTCTTGTACGTCACTTGCGGATTGGCACCGAGGTCGACGCAGGGTAAAAAGGTTGGGGACGAAGAGAGGGGGGAGGGAGAGAACGGGACTGGAAAGGGGGAGGGGGGAATGGAGAAAGGGGGAGGGGGGGAAATGGAGAAAGGGGGGAGGGTTAAAAAGGGGTAGGGTCATGGCAGAGTGGGCAAGGTTAGGGTAGAAGGGACAAGGTTAGGTGCAGGGGATAGAGTGAGAGTAGAAGGGCTGAGGGGAAAGGGGTTACGCTGCGCCAAAGGAACGTTTCTGGGAATTGCTTGCATGTATTTAAATGCATTAACACTTGCCTTCGTCCTGCCCCCCTTTCCTGTCCATTCTCTCCCTCTCAATATTGTTCATTTCCTTTATGCTTTCCATCCCACTCTGTATCCTCCGTTGCACCCTTTAACAAAAAAAAAAAAAAAAAAAAAACTTTCTCTACTGCCTTTTCTTCCTTATCCGTTTTCTTTTAAGTTTTCCGTTTTCTTCGTTCCTTCCCCGCTTTTTACTTAATCTACTTCTATTTTTTTTTCTTCTTCATTACATCGCCATTCATCGTCGTCCTTTTTTTCCCCTCCTTTACCTCTTCCAACGCAATACCCGAGTCAGAGATCGAGTGAGCAGTGACTTCGGAAACGGACCGAATGAAAAAACAAACAAACAAACAAACAAAAAAAAACGAGGACCCAAAAAAAACAATCAAGGGCTTTTAATCGGTTGTACCTTAATTTACGGCATTTCAGAGGTTTCACCGGACAAGAATGCCCTCTATTCTCTCTCTCTCTCTCTCTCTCTCTCTCTCTCTCTCTCTCTCTCTCTCTCTCTCTCTCTCTCTCTCTCTCTCTCTCTCTCTCTCTCTCTCTCTCTCTCTTTTACCATTCTTCCTCTTTCTTTCCCCTTTTCTTTAACTCATCTTTTCTCATGTACTCATATATATTACATCTGCTCTCTCTCTCTCTCTCTCTCTCTCTCTCTCTCTCTCTCTCTCTCTCTCTCTCTCTCTCTCTCTCTCTCTCTCTCTCTCTCTCTCTCTCTCTTATCTCTCTCTCTCTCTCTCTCTTTATCTCTCTCTCT